GCAATTGTCCCATCACTGGTGTCATTGGGCCCGATTGTTGGTTTCCCTTAGAGGAACTGTGATCCATCTTTGGTATCATTTGGAGGAACCATGTCCCATCATGTCATTGGAATTATGTCCCATTGTTGGTATTGGTGGATTAAAATAGTCCCCCTTGGACCAGAAAAGCAAGCAAGGGGCAGCCTCTGGCCCCGGGCTACAGTTTGGAAACCACTGTTCTGGATGAGGTCTTACTATTGATGTGTACAGGGGCAAAATGATGTCTGTTTCACTGGAGTCTATACCTCTTTTGATACAAGAAAGTATTTTGCTCTCTTTAGAAACTGCAGCTTGGTATTGCATGCTATCATTAAGTCTGTGATCCACTAGAACTCCCAAATCCTTCTCCACCATTGACTCCCCCAGCTGTTCTCCTCCTAGAATGTAAGATGCATGCATGTTTCTAGTGCCAAGTGCATAACTTGATATTTATCAACATTAAACCTCATTTACCACATAGCTGTCCAAGTAAAAAGTGCAAAGCTGGGAGAAAAAAAACAGCCAAACCTCTTAGTAAAAGAAGCACATATTACACATATTACACTTGTTTGGCACACAGTTAACCCCTTGATTACCCCTTCCCATCCAGTGTCATTTGTACAGTGACAATGTACAGTATTAGCACTGATCACTGTATTAGTGTCACTATTGATGTCAGTGTCAGTTAGTGTATCTCCCAGCCAGCGGCAGCTAGCTTGCCACACTATCACAGTCCCACTGTAAGTCGCTGATCCCCACTGTCACCAGTATAGTGTCATAGCTTCATAAATTCCACTATATATATACCATAGATTGTAGACACTATAACTTTCACACAAACCAATTAATATACACTTATTGGGATTTGTTTTTACCAAAGACATGTAGCAGAATACAAGGCCTACATTTATGAAGAAATTTGATTTTTTTTTTATTGGATATGTTTTATAACAGAAAATAGAAAATGTTTTTTTTTGTGGTTTAAAGAACCCAGTGATGATCAAATAGTGTTGCATGACCAAACAATTGCCAGTTAAAGTAGCACGGTGCTGAATAGAAAAACAATGCCCTGGTCATGATGGGGGTAAAACCTTCCAGTGGTCAAGTGGTTAAAGCATCTCCTATGGAAGCTTCAGGTTACTAAAGTTTGTCGCTGTTTCACAGTGCATGCAATTTTAAGGCTTGACATGTTGAGTGTCTTATTGATGAGGTGGAACCTTATCTTTTATATTTTACAAAACAAATTGGGTATTGTACTGCATTTTTTGTGATCCAAAAATTAACTTTAGCATATTTTTTAAATACTTATATTTTTTAAAAATTCTGAGCTTGATAAAACCATTGTGCCAATATCGTGTGACATAAAAAGATTTTATTCTCCAGTTTCTGCTCTTGGAAAATATATAACATGTTGGGGGTTTTAAATAATCTTTGAGCCTAAAATTATTTTTTAAATGTGTGCAAAAAACACACGTAGGCCTCTTGCAAACGGTACTGATGTTTTTGAGCATCGGCATTTCTGGATGTAATTTCAGGTGTTTATTTTGTGCGTATTTGCACATATTCACGTGTATGTGCAGTTACGTGTACAATTAATTCTTAAGTAAAATACAATAAAATGGGAGTAAACTCCCGTTTTTGCTTTGTACCTACAGGTAAACCTATGATCAGGCTTACCTGTAGGTACCATAAACATCTCTTAAACCTGCACGGTTTAGGAGATATTTACCTGTGTAGCTGCTGGTGACATCACCTGCGCATGCGCTCCAAAGGAACGGCATACTCATGCTGTTCCTTCAAGGCCCAGTGCCATAAACGCTGACTCCTGATCCAGTGGCTGCAGCCAGCGAACCCGGAAGAAGGCCAGGTCAAGATCGATTCCCTGTTAGCGGTGACAGGGCGCCGCTGGAGGAATCCGTTTCACAGGTAAGTCTGTCATAATGTGCTAGTATGCAGCGCATACTAGTACATTATCACTTTACCCTGTGGAGGGACCAGTTTGTTTTTTTTTTCTGCAGCGGTTTACTACTGCCTTAATTTTTGTGTGCATATTTGCATGCATTTGTATGCACCAAAAAATTGGTGACTGGGAACGCAGATTTTTTTTAAAATCAAGAATATGCAGCATTTATTTACGCACCTGTGAATGCAGGCACATTGTAAACGAGCTGCATTTTAGATCTGTAAAAAAAAAACCACTACTGAGCCTTTTCAAGATGCAGTGTGTAAGATGCCTTTATAGTGCTTTTCTGAAAAACTGAAGTATGCTGGGATAGGGAGAGGTTATACCTGGCTGGCCAGTTACTTTTTAGTTTTCCAGTGTCCAGATCCTCCTGTAGCTAGCAGTATAGTATACAGCTAATGCTACTAAATTCTGTGTCCATTAACCTCTTGGCGCCGGCCGAATGTGCAGCCTCCAGGTATCTGGGACAAGATGCCCAGCAGTCGCACATTTGCGTTCTATTACAAAAATACATGTGCTGAGAGTGTGCGCCTTGCGCTCTCCCAGCACACACGTTCGGTGCTCACAGAAAGATCCGATCTCCTCTTTCGATCGGGACCTTTCCCGATCATGTGACCGATGTGACAGCGAATCACGGCGGTCACATGACCCTAAAACCCCGTCCCGCCTCCCGGCTTCTGGAACCCTTAAAGGGCCGGGAGGCGCCGGCGCCAATGAAGGTAAAGGATAAGTTCACCTTTTGTTAAATAAATGCACATCTTTTTGCTGCTAAAAAATGTGCATTTATTATTTTATTTACATTGCAACCCTTAAAGCACTGCACCTGTGATCAGCAGATCTTGGGTGCAATGCCAGAATTGTGCAGACTCTCATTAGGCTGTCTGCCAGTACCTCCTGAAATGGGAGGCAGTTACTGAATAGCAGGAAGAATCAATCAGCTATGAGAGAGCTTGTCAGCTGCAATGGCTGATGGCACTTGTAGTCTAATTCATTACAAGTAACTGTGAATGAATGATGTTGCCTTGTGTCAAATTGTGACAACAGATGCATAGAGTGCGTTGGAGTACGCGCTACATATTACACCCTAAATGTAACATGCTCCTAAAGGTGAACTTATCCTTTAATGAACTTAAAAAAAACGGAATCCTGTTCCTAGATTAAATATAAGGGCACTGATGTTTTCTGTATATTGCATGTTAAGGTGAGATTATTTCTGATTTTAATTCTGCATGTTCACTGCTTTTTGCATTTTAGTCTGTATGCTGTATATGAAAAGCAGACCGCTTTCCTGAGGTGTTATGCTTACTTTCAGTACTTGCAATCAGCAGGGACCTCTGCTGGCTAGTATTGGGAAAAATATTTTCTTGGAAATATTACAGTTCAAACCAATATTAATATCTAGTTGGCAGAGTTTCAATTTTGATATGGAAAAAAGTAATGACAAGTGAACAGTTGTTTTATTAGGCAGATTCAGAATGGGCAAATGACACTTTCTTTGCTTGAATATAGTAGCTCTGTTGCATAGAGAATCTCATGTTTCAAGAATCTTCTAGACCTTGCGATTAATACACAGCAGGACTATCTGTAGATAGGTCAAGTGTCATCTTGTGAAAAATAATTAAAAATGTAGTTCTCTCAATTTCTCATTTAACCAATTTACAGATAGGGGTGATTGCAATTCTGAAATGCATTTTAGTTAATGAGGCGGTAAAAGGTTTAATATGCAATGGCAGTAAAAGAGTTAATACAGGTTGAAAGGGTGGGCGGGAAGGGTGGCTGCCCTGGGCACAATGGTTTACTGTAGGGATTGGGAAGCTTTCTTTCTGTTGCAAGGCTGACAGGAGTAGCGATAACAGCATCACTACTTCTGTCAGCCCAGTGCTGGGAGCAGTGAGGAGAGCAGAGAAAAGCTGGGACATGGTGCAGGCTGTGTTCTCACTCCCCCTCCTCCTTCTTGCCAATTAACAAGCAGGTGGTGATGTTCACAAACACACAGGAGCTGTGCTAACAGGAAAGAGGTTGGGGATATAGAGCACAGCACACACACGCAGAAGTGTCCAGGATAGAGCCGGGAGTGGAGAGCCATCAATACAAGAATGTGCCCAGTATGAAAACTGAACTGCACAGTGATTGTGGCAAGTGAGTGACTGCTGGGAATATGATCCCATAAACTTGCGCATCATTAATGGGGGTGGGGCACAGGTTGGCATCTCTGCCCTGGGCGCTGGATGACCTTGTCCCGGCACTAGTTTAATATGTACAGTTTTGAAGAAAGGAGGCAAAGCAACACGTGAATTTGAATTAAATATATTAACCTCTTGGCGCCGGCCGCACGCAATTGTGCGGCCTCCTGACGTCTGGGCCTTGACGCCGAGCAGCCGCACATTTGCGTGCAATTAAGAAAAACGTGTGCTGAGAGTGCGTGCCCTGTGCGCTGCCAGCACACATGTCCGGTACTCACGGAAAGGTCCCGATCTCCTCTTTCGATCGGGACCTTTCCTGATCATGTGACTGCCGTGATGGCGAATCACGGCGGTCACATGACCCTAAAACCCCGCCACGCCTCCCGGCTTCTGAAACCCTTAAAGGGCTGGGAGGCGCTGGAGCCAAGGGGTTAAGGGTCTCATTAAGGGGGACATGACCCCAAAGCAGCAGGAGGAAAGTTTAAAACTTACCTTAGAAAGTATTTTTCTGAAAGAGTAGTTAATGCCTGGAAAACACTTCCAGTAGAGGTAGTGAGTCAGCCAGGCAACAGTAAGTGAATATTAACAGTAAAAGTTAAAGTAAGCATAAAGGTATACTTAGTAAAAAATGTTCTATGTTTCTGTAAATTATTATTATTATTATTCTACAGGATATATACTGTATAACACCAGCAGCGCTTTACAAAATAAAAAGCAACAGTATAGTTACAATACAATTCCAGCCTATAAAAGCTAATATTGATTCCACGTATAATTCCAATCCTTTTTGTGTGCATGCCTTTCTGTGAAGAACTTACTCATCATTTGTATTCCAGGGCCTGAAGCAAGGACGAGCTGAAGCTTTGAGACCCAATCTTAAAAAAGGACCTAGAAGAAAATAACATGAAAAGGTAGCCATCACACTGATAGAAGAGTAAATGATCATTATCTACAGTAGAAAATGTATCATTAAATGCAGTTGAAAATGTAATAATAATCTTGAAGTGATGTATACCAATTTTGGACTGGAAGCCTCCATATTATCTGCAGCAACATATTGTTAAACATATGGACAAGTCAAACGTTGTAATATTCAGAATGCTTACGGGCACTTAATTATCATTGTTCTGCTATTCTTTGTGGACTATATGAAGATTCTGAGTTAAATAAAGAATTACAACAACAACAAAAAAAACCCCACATACATATGGATAGCTCTTTTTTGCTGGGAACAAAAAAGTTAAGCACTTTACAAAAGATATTGGCTTATATACAGTATAAGCTAATACCCCTAAGGTTAAACAGATTGTTCAAATCTCCCCCAAAACATATCCCTTTGTCTACCCCATTGGTTAACTAAGGTCATTCAATTCCTTGACTCCAAGTTCTGCAGTATTAGGCTAGACATACATACAAGAGATGTCTCTTGTTCAGTTCCATGGGTTGTGACAGGTTCTCTTCAAAGAGACATCAGGGTTCTTTTTGACCCCTGATGTCTCACCTGCCCTCCATTGCAACTAATGGAGTGCAAGCCATGCCCCTTTAGTTTCTTCCCTGGCCTCTGTGGCAAGTGACAGCTGAACCCAGAAACTATCTATTACACCTTGCTTCTGAGTTCTTACTAGGTAGGGTAGATGGCTTGTCTCTCTCCCCATTACTGGGCAGCACATGCTATGGGGTACCTGGGCCCGCAGTTGGGGGCGCAGAGCCTGGAAAACATGGCCGGACTGTGCTCGAGGGGGAATGTACAAGTGGGGTGTGAGTATACTGGGGGTGCATGGAAGTGATCGGCATCACACATTAGCTATAGCAACTGAGGGTGTGTTTAAACACCCAGTCTGCATCCCCTATCCCACCACTGCTGCAGCAGACATACAGTTGTGCTCAAAAGTTTGCATACCCTGGCAGAAATCGTGAAATTTTGGCATGGATATTGAAAATATGACTGATCATGCCAAAAAGCTGTCTTTTATATAAGGATAGTGATCATATGAAGCCATTTATCACATAATTGTTTGGCTCCTTTTTAATCATAACAGAAATCGTCCAAATGGCTCCAAAAGTTTACATACCCTGGAATGTTTGGTCTTGGTACAGACGAAGGTGACGCACACAGGTTAAAAAGACAATTAAAGGTTCATTTCCGACATCTGTGGCTTTTTAAACTGCAATTGGTGTCAAATAAAAGACAGTTTTTTGCCAAAATTTCACAATTTATGCCAGGGGATGCAAACTTACAAGCATAGCTGTATGCCTTATACGGTGCTAGTGGTTAAAGGGTTTAATTGTTGTGTTTGGATACAGTGTAAATGTAGAAATCTGTATAGAATTTGCCTGGGTTGGAGGGAATTTATGGGAATGCAAAGATGATTTAACCACATTTTTATAGAGAAAAGCAACTGTTCCTGAGATGATAATCTTACGTTGTGATTTATTATTTTCTGTTAATTGCTGTTTTTTTTTTTTTGCTCCAGGATGAAAGGATTATCTCTCCCATGGAGAAGGCAGGACACTTCGCTACGTTTCTCTTTTCCCCTTGGACAGCCTCCTCCACTGCCCTCTCCCTATTTCATGACATCTGCTCACACATGTTGAGAGACCCACATACAGAGATATTAAATGATATAATAATAAAATGTTTCCAGTTTATTGACATATTCTATTTATCATGTACACAGCTATTATATTTTTCCTTTCTCTTTTACTGACAAAAATGATAAATTTATCTGAGTATTAAACCAACTTTGCAACAAAATAAAAAAAAAAAGATTAACAGGGTAAAATAAAATCAATGGTGAAAATGCTTTGTAAAGCTTCTTAATGGAATGTTATTAGATGATGTGATATAGGTCAGTATTAGATTGCGGTAAAGTGTAGATCAGAAACTATATACAACTCAGTCTATTCCATCTAAATACTCACAAAACAAGGCTCCATGCACGCTATGCGTTTTGATAACGCTGGTAACGTTAGCTGTGTAAAGTCATGTTAAAAACATGAGTTTTTCAGTTTTCTATAGCTTTTTTGCATTAGCGTTTAGCAGCGCTTTCCCATGTTTTGAGTTTTTTAGCGTTTTTTTTTAACCAAACAAAATGTTTTTTTTTTGGTCAAAAAATGTCCAAAAACGCTGGTTTGCTGTGTTTTTACCGCGGTATACAGTTTTTACAGCTAAAAAAACTCCTCTAGAAACCCAGTAGTCCTGAGTTTTTTTTTCCAGCCAAAAAACGTCCCTACTAAAAAAATGTTGATTACAGTCTGTGTGCATGGACACATAGGATAACATGCTGGGGGGTTTACTAGCTGTAGAAAAAAAATGCCAAAAACAGCAGCTGTAAAAACGTCAAGTGTGCATGAGGACTAAAATTGTTGAGGCTGATTTTGCTATGCATATTTAGACTGAAGCAGTAAGAATCGCTGTCTTATTCTGGCACAGAGGTTTTGTCTTTGGAGCAAAGGATCTTGGGCAGGTGGGTGGTGACTATGCAAACCAGTATTTGGTAATTAACTAACTAGTGGAGATCCTAGGTGGCCCAATATTTTGTGTTGACCACCACCAATATATATTACCTTACATCATTCTGCCCAGTTTGAAATTGGGGTATTTTTTCAAAAGGTCAGTACATGTAAAACACTACAGAACGTATTATAAATGACAAATTGTATTATTCATTAGTAGTGCACCAAAATGAAAATTCTGGTACTGAAACCAAAAATTAAATTTCAAAATGCACTTGGCCAAAAAACGAAACCGAAATGTGCAGTTTTTAAAAATGAATATATATATATATATTTTTTTTAAAAAATGCACTTTGATTAAAAAAACAATATATACCCCAATTGTTTTCTAAAATATGAAAGAGGATGTTACGGCGAGTAAATAGATACCCAACATGTCATGCTTTAAAATTGCACACGCTTATAGAATGGCATCAAACTGCGGTACTTAAAAATCTCCATAGGTGATGCTTTAAAAATGTCTGCAGATTAGCAGTGTAACGTTACAGAGGAGGTCTAGTGCTAGAATTACTGCTCTTGCTCCGACGTTCGTGGCGATACCTCACCTGTGTGGTTTGAACACCGTTTAGATATGTGGGCATGGCCTACGTTTGCATTCACCACTGTGTGTGAGGATGGGCACGTTAAACTTTTTTTTGTACATTTATTGAAATGTTTTTTTTAGCACTGTCCCTTTAAAAAATTTTTAATCACCTTTATTTTTTTCACAAGGAATGCATGCATCCCTTGTGATAGGAATAATTAGTGACAGGTCCTCTTTATGGAGAGATATGACATCAATAAGACTCCACATCTCTCCTCTGCAATGTAAAGCATTAGATCAAAAAAAGCATTGTTCTAGTGCTTTTACAAAAAAAATTAAAATTTCCCAGAACCAGAAGTGACATCGCTCCGGTCCTCCAAGGGCATAGAGATCAGTGGAGGCCATCTTTTCTTCACTAGCCCCCCCATCCCCCCAAAAAAAATATTAAATAAAAATGTACCTCTACGAAAAAAAAAGTTACAAAAAAAATAAATAAACATAGTAAGGGTAGATTTAGACATGCATCTAAATCAGCCCTTGCTTCTGAAACCTGATCCATGTTTGGATCCCGTTTCAGTGGCTACTGACTGGCAGTGAGGAAGCGTCCTGTTTTAACCCTATTTTACAAATAAATGCGCCTCAACCACATGCATTGCACGATGTTGCGGGGCATTTGCAGCGCTTCCTCACTGACATGAATGTTTAGTGTTCAGTGGACGTCATTGCTACATGTTGGGTAAACTTGCCACAGGCATGAAGCATCACGGCATCATCACCCTGTCCATTGCCTATTGCAGCTTAAGGGGGGCATTTGGCAGGCAGCAGAAACACTCAACTGCGCATTTTTGCCACCCTGCGTTCACACGGGCATACTACAGCGAGGCCATGTTTAGCTGCACGGGGATGCACAGGTGTTCTGTGCATCCCCATGAAGACAGTTCCATCCCTATCAATTGGGATGCAGCGGCTGCATCAAGACAGCCACTGCTCCCAAATTGACAGCCATGTGGGTATCTGTCCCTGAATTCACACTGCCTGGCAGCAAAAGGGTATGCTTCTCCTTTACTGTCTAATTGCGATGAAGGTGCAGAAACTAGACCTAATTGTATTGTTAACCCCTTGATGCTGGCGTCACACAAATATGCAGCCTCACAGAACTGGGCTTTTTTCCATGGGGCCACATATTTGCGTACCTGTCTTTGTGCTGGGAGCACGCCGCACTGCACGCGCCCAGCACAAAGACCACGGTGTCACTGAGAGCCCCGGTCCTGTTCTAACGATCAGGACCCAGGACTCCCGATTCCAGGTCACACGATGTCTGTGATAGCCTCTGATTGGCTATCACAGTGATCAGTCACTGTACAGCCCGGCCCCTTGGTTTTTTTTTTTCTTTCTATGAATGGAGGAGAGAGATACATTGTATCTCTCTAATTCCTGGCATAGAGGGAAAAAATAAAGAAAAAAAAACCTAGATCAAGGTTTGATCTAGTTCAGTGCCAGGGTAAGTGTTTTGGTCAGGGTCAAAGGTCAGGATTTTTATTTATTTTTAATTGGTGTTAGTGTCAGTATCAGTGTGTTTTTAGGTAAACAAAAAAGAAAAAACAAAATTTGCACTATTGTTTCTGCGCTGTACAAACAGCAAATAAGATACACATATATATGGTATCGCGATCATCAGATGGAGAATTTATTTTGGGTTTTCTTTGGTGGTAGGTTATGGTAGTAACAAAAAAACACATAGCTAAATTTAAAAAAATGTTGGGTTTTTTTTTTTACTATTTTGGGCCAGTTTCCCTTTGATAATAAAAAAAAAGTCAGGAGATATCCATTACCATTTACCACCAAATGAAAGCCCAATTTGTT